TTTAAAAAAAAAGATTTACCCTTTCCTCAATATCCAGAAACACTAGGTTACTCAAAGTTTCCCCATGAGCAGAAGGAAGATGCCCAATTACTTTTCTGGAAGAGCCAAAGGATTTAGAAGAAATGAACAGCCAATAATTTCAATTGGGATCACAGAATAAGTGCGTCTTTGGAAATGCACAGGCCTGATTGGGATCCAAACTTAAGCATTTCTCAACTCTGTGATTTTTGGGTAAATTACTTAACTATGCTAAGACTGTTTTTTTTTTTTCTTTTAAAAACAGCAATTATAATCCCCAGCTCTTCAGGTTGAAATAGAAGAACCCATGGGAAAACAACTGTAATAATTTCTTGCATGTTAGACATTCTAGAAAATATTAGGATAGTCCCTTTCTTCTATGGAGGGGTTATAGGAAGTCGGTTACATGGTGGCCAGCCCACAGAGAAGAATGTTCACCATCAAAATTATGTCATCACTGTTAACCCTCTTCTCCTCTTGGCTTGCTAATAATGCCCATCATTTTGATAGCAATATCAATAGGCTATTTCATAGTAAAGTCAATGAGCAGCTATGGTCTCAAGGGCTAATTCTGAAAGCATTTGTAGGCCAATTGAGAATGGGAAGAGACATGTTTTCTTTTATGTAGCGTACCCCAAAGCAGAAGCTCTAAACGGCACTGATTAAATGACACATCATGTCGGCGCATTCCAGAGCCTTCTCATCTGCTCTGTGAATCTCAGCCTGCTGGCCCAAGTGAAGTGAGGCCCCGTTTCTCTTCACATGCCATGGACAATATGGGAGCATGACTGCTTTTGTTGCTGATGAAAATATTATGGCCTCAGTTGCCTGTAATCAATTTACTGCTTTATGGACCCAAAGTCCTCCAGAGAATTTAATAAATTCACGTAATGTTTCTAAGTGCTGCATTGTGCATTTGGAGCGCTGATTTAGCTGACAAATGTGAAAAATTCGTGTAGCTAGACAACTCCCTAGTGATTAGACATGTGTGGAAGCTAGAGAGAGCATGTTGCTTCAGAGAAGGTCAGCATTAACATACAGCTGAGAGCCTCCGCCCTGGATTGGCTTTGTGTCCCTCCAGTCCTGATGGATAATACTATCTGACCAAACATTTGGGGGGTCGTCCCCATTTCCAGTGGGGCTGAACTTCAGGTTCCCTGACAACCTGCAGCTTCTAGTCTGGGCTGATCAAAGAACAACAAAGACAAAGATGATGTTGGAAGGGGATGATGAACCCTTGCGGATTTAGATAATGAAATGGCCGGTGAATTATGGAGACTTGGCTCCGAAGATGTCAGAGGTTTCTAAGGGAACATTTTATGGGATAGTATCAGAGTCATTTTTTAAAAACTGGTTCACTGAAACTTATATTGAATTTTTCTGTGCATTGCTTTTTCCCATTCTGATTTCCTTCCAAATGTAAACAAATTTGCCAACAAATAATAAATGGTAAGCCACTTTTTATGATTCAAAGAGAGGATTTTAGTCCTCTCTTTACTAATGTACATATAAGCATTTCATAGAGTCATAATCAATCAATACTATTTCGTATTCCACTTTTCCTCTTTAATGTGATTTTATAGAAGCAGTAATGTTATTTATATCCATCGAGGTGGGCTGCAGAGCTGTTGCTTCAAATAGTTTTTTAATATTGAGCTTCTGAGAATTGTCTTTAAAGTGCCAGGTGTTGTATTATTTCAGACATTGCTGTTGTTCAGAATCACTGCAGGTTTTACTGTTGATTTTGACTTGAATTTTGATTTTCAGCTCAAGTGAAGGTTTAGGATTTTACTTGAGCTTGAAAGTGAGGGGGGAATCAGCCACAGGTAAACCAGGCCTGGGGATTTTGTAATAGCTAGTGTGGAAAACAAGCCCACCCCTCTCCTGCTTGGATATTCCAGTGACTTGGGGTCCAGCTTGACCTCTTCTTCAGTTGGCTGTGATTACTGAGTGACTGACCCTGGACACTCTCTTGTGGGACCTGTAAGGTTTGGGGCTACCTCCATGGTTCTGGATCTGGGTGGTACAGACACCAGCTGCTTCACTGATAAAAAGGGCACTTCATGTATTTGGACCCTGTAAGTCATGTTTTTTGGCAGATAAACTTTATACCACTCACAAGAAACCAAAGAATTAAGAAAACACAATATGGTGGAGTACTGACAATCAGAAAGAGGACTGGAATGAAATCCCCTAGTTGGTGAGTTGGGGATTGGGATGATACTTTCAGGTAGATTTGATACTTAAGAAATGAATATTGCTAATTTGATATACAGGGTCATTGTTATTAGCAAAACAACAACAACAACAACAACAACAACAACAACAACAAAAACCAACAAACAAAAAACCCTAGATGGTTTGCAAACATTTCTCTTCAAACACACTTAAAAAACCTCCCAAAGATCTCTTGTCACCTGTCCTTTATGTGACTTAGAAACTGAGGCATAAAGGAGACAAATGACTTGCTTAGATCCCAAAGCTAGTTAATATCTATGGCAGGATAAATGTGAACCTTCCCACCCACATCTTTCTCATTAGACAGGTGGTTCTTAATGAGAAAGAGTATGAGGGCTCTGTTTTGGTTCTGAAAGTTGAAGAATGCTTGTGTGATAGTAACTATATTTTTAGTATCTAATAATTGGGAAAAATCTAAGTGTCATAGAGCTTCTCAGTGACTCTGCAATTCTTAGGGGTGCACAGGTTGGAAAATCATTGCACAAGACATTGGTAGCATAATGCAATGACTTTACACACTGGAGGCTTGTGAAGCTCCCTACTCTCCGGAATTAACAGTGGACAGTGAGCAGTGAAAGGGTTGGGGACCTAGCAACGGAGCCTTTTAAGAAGAGGTGACTTGCTAATAAACATGCTTTCTAGGATCCGGCTTTCTCCATGGGGAATGGTACAACATGCCAAATTCAACTGAGTCCTGCTCCCATCACCCATCCCTGGATGGTAGACCTGAGATGCCTGCGACAGCCAGATGAGATTCTCCATCATTACTCAATTGATAAACCAAAGCCGAGGTCAACTCGCTCATGAGCTTGCGATTTTATTTTTGCCACAGTTTTGTTGCTGTCTTTCCTGATAAGTGTATCTCTACGCTTGTCAGGTCAAATTCACTGTCAATTGGAATACAGAAAAGGTGCATCTCCATATGTATACATTTTTTTTTCATTTTCTAAAATGAACATCATAAAAAAAGGCAGAAATGTGACCTCTAAAGCCTGGATACAGACTCCAAATATTGTACAGCAGCTTCATCTTTTTATTAGATTTTCTGTGTTTTTTCTCCCTAGTTGCTGGATAAAATCCATACAAATGAAATACTGGCTCACTCAGTAAATAATAATGAAAAGGTAAATTCATTTTACAGAGAAGCCAGTACATGTAAGACATCATCTTGAATGACTGTGATTTCTTGAACTGATCACCAGGCTATTAGAGTCTCTCAAAAATAATATCTGGCTTTTAGGCTCTCCAGTCAAATCTACGACCTCTCCTTAACCTTTTGGATCTTAAGAAAAAATGATTTTTAAAAACATGTGCTGAGTAGGCTGCTAAAATTACACAGGTACAGTTTAGTTCCCTTCACATTGAGGTCCTACCAGATGACACACCCAGGGAGAGTCTGGCTTCTTCCTGCCACCTCTTGGCCCTTCCCCTGGTATTTTTCAATTGTTATGATGTAACTATAAGGCTCTTTCAAAGATCATAGAAAAAATATATTTAGGGCTAAGATCTTGCCTCTTTAAATTTATCTTGAAGCTGATAATTTCTCTAAATCTGTCATGTTAGGTTTCATTTTATATCTTTTTGGAAAAGGACAAATGAATAATATATTTTTACCTGGGGTGGTGAAGCTGAACTTTCTGGAGATGCAAACAGGCCCCAAATTACAGGGTTCCTATTACGTAGACTTTCAGTGCCCAAATTAAATTTTGTTTCTCTGTCAATTAAAGGTAAAATTCAATTCAATGTCTGTTTTTTTTTGAGAACTTGTTATGTGCAAAGGCCTCCAAAAGCAGAAGATGACAAAACAAACCCTTCGCTGTCAATGAGCTTCCTACTTGGAATAGCTGGTGAATTAATCCCCAGGTCCCTGCAGGTTGATGAAACACAAGCCAAGTGCTAAAGAAGTGCTTCTCCAGGCTGAAGGAAGAGGAACGAATGGCCAGTTCAGGATGGAGGTGAGCTGTGCCCAGACATGCCTTTTTTAATTAAAAATAAAATACCTGACATTCACAAATGCCATATAAATATAATCATGCATTGCTCAATGGAAGGGGTATGTTTTGAGAAATGTTAGGTGACTTCATTATTGTATAAACATCCTAGAGCATATTTATGCAAACTAAGATGGCTACAATATCAACAGATGATACAGTCTTACCGGACCACTGGCATATATGTAGTTCACCTTTGACCAAAATTTCCTTATGTGGTGCTGGGCTGTAGCTCAGTGCTTATTGTATTTCTAAGAAGATAAAAATACATTAGGAAGTCCTTTGGTCAGAAAGAGTTTATTCACTGCCTTTAAGATAAATCTTGGGCATAGGTGAAAGCTTTGAAGATGAAATTGGGTTGGAAGCTCTGATATATTCATCTGAAGTAACAAATCCTGGCAGTCGCCCTGGGAAAGGTACTTGCAACTTCTGAGAATGCGTCCAGGTTCTAGTGGCTTTGAATGTGAGGGAAGAGAATGGGGAGGGGACCAGATGGGCATCCTCTCTGCAGAGAAGTCAGGCTGGCAAATGAGGGTCTTCAGACAGGAGGCAAGTAGTCCTCTGGTTTACTTTTAGAATGGGCAGTCCCTAGCCAGGCATGGTGGCACATGACTGTAATCCCTGCGGCTTGGGAGGCTGAGACAGGAGGATTGTGGGTTCAAACCCAGCCTCAGCAACAGCAAGGGGTGCTAAGCAAATCAATAAGACCCTGTCTCTAAGTGAAATACAAAAGTAGAGCTGGGAATGTGGCTCAGTGGTTGAGTGCCCCTGAGTTCAATCCCCAGTACCATCCCACCCCTGCCAAAAAAGAAGAATGGGCAGTTCCTGGCACAGATTATAGCTATTAACAGGAGAAGGAGAAATCATGGCTGACTGAAGGCGTCTGTCTCGGTTTGTGTTGTGAAGATATGAAAAGCACCCAGTGGCCAATGAATGGAGGTGAAGGGAGGAATCAGCCTGGCACTGTAATCCTTTCCCCACTACTTTTTAGTGGTGTTACCTGCTGGAGTGGGGGGAGGGGGAGGGTCTCCTTAATCCCTCTAGGTCTCTTTTCTTATCTGTAAACCAGGCCTTTAATCCCTTCACTGTAGTTTAGTCATCAGGATTAAATGAGATATTGTAAGTCATTTAACACAATACCTGGGACATAGTTACCCAGTCCATAGGAGCTATGAAGATTATCATTATCAATCATAATACAGCCATTGCATTCAATTGCTTTGATGGATTAACATGTGTGAGTTATTTCTCTTGTCAGTTTATGCAGTCTTTTTTCCCCCTGAACTGAATTCATCCTTTTATTGATATTTACTATAATTATGAGCACTATTTTCTAGCTGATGCACAGATTTAAAGCATAACACTCCCATTTGATAAATCTCTTAGGATTAAAATTTGACCTCTGTTAAAAAAGGCTGATTTATGATTTCTTTCAGAAGTAATAAGCTTTCTTTCTGGGAGAGGGCCTGGGTTTCCCCTGTTATACAGTGCCTCTTCTGCTCCATTAGCACATGTATACATATACATACACCATGCTCTCTGCTCTCATTGGCTGAGGACCAGGATGGAGAGTCGGGGGTCTGCTGAGTCCTCAGGGGATGAGAACCATGGACAGCTGTCAGCACAGTATGAAAGTGTGACCCACAATGAGAACAGCCTTAACGTCAAAGCACCCTTGTCCACATGCCCTCACCTCCCAGGGTTCTGCTCTCCTCCTCTTCTGGGGCAGCTCCACTGACTTTTCCTTACTTGGTGAAGTCACCCTGAAGTCGGGGATTAATCCTCCTCAAGTGCTCTGTCAGTGATGACAAGAAGAAGCAGACACAATAAGGCTGGGTTTGTGCTCAAGGAGGAGAGAGACACATTTGGAGTGCCTGCCCAGGGCAGCAAAGCAAATGTGTCATGTCCTTCTTATCAAGAAGCAGGAAATTGTACATAGGTTGGATGGTAAATGTGCTGAATTTATCCTCACGTGGGCAAATTTTCCTGCTGAGACTATTCTTCTGGTTTCAAAGGGAACCAGGAATTGTTCTGTCTTTTAAAAATTATTCAGGACTAAACTGAATTAGACTTTTTTCTGCTTAGAAGGCAAATACTTATGCTTAGTTCCTACTGGAAAATGACACTAAAAAGTTAATGGTAAACCATAGGGACTGGCAAATCCCAGGAACAACATTTGTGTCTTAGCTGAAGCCCAGAGGGCCTCTCAGAAGTCCATTTGCATAAGGTGATGGGGAGCCTCAAGGGACATGAAGAAGGAACCAGGCTTCCAGAGTCCAATCCCAAAGTCAGGCCAGAATAACGTGTTGGGAGGAACAGTATTTGAGAATCTGCTCTCACAAACCTATGGATAGGTTAAACAAATCAAAGTGCTAGGAAGGAATTGGTGACAGCCACTGTACCAGTAAGACTCAATCTCGGTCATACTACCAATGGGGAAGGCACGGGAACCTGGAAGGTGCCCAGTGTGTATAGTGGAGTTGTGCTGGGTACCTTTGAAGAGGGTAGTTTTGATATTTAGCAAACTTGAATTTTTCTCAGAATGGATGTTGCAGGTTGGGTTTCCTTGTGGCTTAGTCTGTTTTCTGCTGCTAGAACAGAATAGCAGAGCCAGGGTGTTACATAAAGAAAAGAAGTTTATTTGACTCATTGTTTTGGAAGTTCTAGAGGATGAGAAGTCCAAATTCACGTCTGATAAATCCCTTCTTGCTGTGCCATCCACCGCACAAGGTGAAAGAGTAACAGAGTAACATCTTTTATAAGGATACTACTCTCCTTATAACTAACCCACTCCTGAGATAAAGGCATTCATTAATTCATAATCAGCTCTTTTT